CTTGGGGATGAACTTTGGTAGCAGAATGTGTTAAATTCAACTCAAACGACACTTTTAAAGGCCTGTTTTTAAACTGCGTTGTGCATCTCTCTGACGCTACACAAGTAGCCCCAAATGACACCTGTGACACGAATGCACATATAACTTAAATTAAAATTGCTGCTTATTTATTATTTAAGTATTTCAGGATAAAACATAAAAATCTGGGGGCACATTTTTCTTATCATTCATGACTTTGACTTCTTCCTGTGGAAATATTTGTTTAAATTTGTCACAGTATGGCACAAGCAAGCAACTTGGTATTTATATATGTATATAATATTGCATGAAGCAGTCGTGTCACAAAACATTACGAATAGTTAAAAACAAAAACTCAATCTGTGATCTGACAAGCAAATTGAAACATCATCTGATTCAGTATTTCATTAGAAATAACACTTTTATGTTTTAACTTTTGTATCATATTTTGCTCTGACTGCAGCTCAACAGAAAATATTTTTTTCTTTTCATACATTTAGTTATTTCAGGTCTAAGCTGTAAAAAAAAAAGTGTACAAAATAGAAAACAAACATTAAAATCCATTCTGTGGAGCTGCTTCTTTTCTGTTCAAATGGCTGAACTCTAATTGCAAAAAATGTGTTTTTAAAATTCACACTTTGTCAATTGTTTTTGACTTCTTTTGTCAAGAGATAATTGAGGACGTCCTTCTCTATTTAAATATTCACATCTCCTCCTTTTATGATTATTTTTTTATCCCTCCCATCTAGAAGAAGATAAAGGAGTGAAGAAAATATTTCAAAAGACATGTTAAAAAATGTTTAAATACTACGTCGCCTCTTAGACTTCTTTACATCTTTTCATAGATTTTTTTTTTTGCCTGTTTGAAGATTTATCAGAAGTTTTTTTTTTTTTTATTATTTTTTACATCTTCTAGTTTCAGAAATTGATCTTTCCTGGCATGTGGTTAAAACACAAACTAAACTAAATCCATTCAAATATGACTCCAACAGGCTTTTTTTTTAGGTACCTCTCTGTAATATATCATATTTGAATACCAATGATACCAGAACTATGCAAATCACCACCAGACCATTCTAGACCTAGAGTCTTATATGAACTTGGAACTTTCTGTAAAATGAACTGAACTGATGGATTGTGCAGAATTTCACCAATCTATCGATGTGTTGTATGTGGAAAAGAGCTGAAACATTTATGTGTTTACTCACAATGCTAAGCTAATTGGAAGTATTTTAAATACACTGCAATCTGTTGGAAAAAAAATGCATTTGATATTTTTGGTGTTTCACTGTACAGCTATAATGAATGAACAATGGCTGAATTCCATTTAGCTGCTCCAGTTTCAGGGTCCTGGAACGGGGCAGGACATTTATGTGAGCCGGTCTTAAAAAATGTAGAGTTAAGGTAGAATATTGAAAAATCCAGAATCGTAACATTTTTATTTTTTTTATTTTTTTTATTTTTTTTTTAAACTGCTGGACACATGACTTCTATTTTTCGGAAGAGCTCATTCACAATGTATGTGTGCATGTGGACATCGCACTTGTGCAAGTTCTACGTTGCACCATCGCACCACAAAAACCTGCTTGTGATTTCAGATTTGAGGGGAGCACAAAACAACATTTTGCAGAAAAAAGAGAGAAACCAAAGTCACATCATTTTTCACAGTGCAGCTCAAAACATCCAAGTGAAGCTAAAAAAAACACTTTTCACTGCAGGGCCGAGTTAAAAAAAAAAAAAAAAAGCAAGCAGAAACACACCAAGAAGAGCTGCAGTCGAGCCGGAGTCTCATTAGCTCTCCACTGAGAATGGCCCTGGCAGACATGTGCCATTGCTTTACACCGAGCCCGAGCTTTCGTGTTGTGGTTCCTGCAAAATAAAAGTAAATCCCACTGTTCTTGCAGCACTGGCGTCATTACAGGGCAGGTTTCATCATCTAGCTTCAGCGTTGCTGCTCTCTTGATCTTTCTCATGTCTTGCTCTTGGTCGTTGCTGTGTTTCGTTGCCTCCTGACGCTTTGTCTTCTGTGTCCGTGGAGATGTGGTGTTAACATGGTGTGTACAAGGAGGAGTTTGAGTCCATTAACGTCTTTGCAAACATGTGTGAGACAGAAGAAAACGAGCTTATGAGCGTGTACATACAATGAATGTGAAAAATGTGTGTGTGACCATAAGAATGGAGCACAATGGAGGCATTAAACCCACCAGTCGAGACACTGACACAACATTTTCTCTGACAGGGCGAAGTCGGTGACGAGCGTCCGTCATAAATCAAGCGGGGACACCGTGAATAGGCCGGAGAGGAAAATGACCGGGAAAGTGACACAACAACCGCAACAGTTGTCGCTAAATTCTTTTCACATTTCCTGGAAAGTGGCTGCAGGGCACGAGCGGGAACTGGCCCCTCGAACAAGAGTCCCCTCTGAGCGGAGAGAAAGGGGGACATTGTGGGGCCGGGACCCAAAGGTCGTCACGGCTGCTAGGCTGACACCTCTGCCTGGACTCCCGCTGAGTCACCCGCCAGAGGAGGACGACCAGGACTAACTTGTACGCCTCTTCCGCAGGACATTAGTCAAATATTAGTCACAGCGGCCATTTAGATGATGAGGAGAGGTTCTGTCGTCCAGACGCACTCTGGGGCCCAAATGTGCGTTTGTCAATCACAAAGCGACCTGATGTGATCGCATTTCACAGTCCGTTAGACGCACAGATGACAGACTCCTGCGTCAGAAAGAGATCCTGACTGGTTTCCACTGAACTGATACCAAACCTCCGCCTGAGGGCAACGCTTCCTCTGTGGAAAAACAAAGCTGCCCTTATAGTCTTTTTGTTCTGAAGAACTTTATCTGAAGCTTTATTGGATGCCGATTGGCCAAAGTGATCTGATTGTGGCTCTTTCTGAGAAAAAAGGAGGTGATTTCACACGTAATCGTATCAGTGAACTGGCTGTTTTCTGTTTTCCGCGCAATATTCTTAATTTATGAGAACCTCAGATCTGACTGCTGCTAAATGACAGAACCAACAGCAAAACTCTTAAATCATTCATTACTATAGGGATATTTTTGCCATTTTTTTTATTGCACCTCTGCATGTATGTATTTTTTAAATCGTGTAATCTGAAAAGTTCACGTAATTTCATGGAAGATGTCAAAATATATGCAGTCAGTCAATGTTCATGCAGTTCTTTCTGTTTATGCTGTAATAAACTGTATTTACTGCAGCTTCTGGTTGGAAACTAAACTGCATTGTGTTGTCCTGGTACTTGTCGTTGACAGTAATGTTGAATTTAATCTTTTTTTTAATCATTAGTCTGACTTTCTTTACTAACAGCAGTTGATTTGCTCCTTATTTGATTTTAAACTTACACATTTTACAACTTTTCCCACTGAGCTGGAAGCAGTGTTTCTGTCTTGTGGATTTTTCTGCTGCTTTTTGTTTTTTTAATTCCTATATTTTACACAATTGCGTGTCTTTAACTGTAGTTTTGTGCTGCTCATTGTTGCACAGATATCCTCTCCTCAAACTGACATTAAATCTTTCTCTATTTAGCGAGTCAAACATTTACATGCTTCCCGTAAATGTGCTCCCAAACCACACTCCCCTTTGGCACACTAATAGAGCTGAAGTTACACAAAGGGTGCAGCAGGATGAAATAAAGTCGCTTTTTTATAATTAAATCAAACCATTAAGAGTGTCTTCAAGAAGATTTATGAAGCAGTCTGCCTTTTGACAGGTGATATTCTATCATTTCACTGTACAATTACTAATGAATGGCGGCTGGATTCCATTTAGCTGCTTCAGTGTCCCAGTTTGGCGTGTTGCGTTTCTTTGGACACGTCTAACTGGAACCCTTAAAGGAAATTGTTGTTTTCTCACTATGACGAGGCGAAACGTCTGCTCAGAAATAGGCCTGTTATTTGAACTTTGTGGTCTGATGATTGGATAATCCTTCCCGCATCTATGTGTATAATGAGACAGTTGGGTTACGTGTTTACATATTTGATGAAGTAAATCTGGACCGAAAGGTCGTATTGAATAAATATGAAGCAAATCAGGAGCAAGCGAGGGAGGTTGTGGGTGTTTTGGGGGGCTTTGTGTTTTGACTCATGCTTAGTCAGTGTCTTTAGCAACAGTGAGCGGCGTTTTCACTGCAGCAGACTTCAAGCAAACCAAACAACATCCTACCAGCGAGGCAAAGATGCAGGAACTAGTTTTTCATAATTGGATCCTTTTAGAATAAACTACAGGGTCTTATTGGTCAATATTAAATGAGTTTAATTATCTCTGAAGCCAAATTTCCCTTTAAAGCTCGACTAGGTAACTTTTAACAGCTACCAAAGTGCCCGAAATCACAGGTGAGGCTTTTCCGCTCAGATTAATCTAATGCAAGCTACAAATAAAGACTGATTTTAAGCTTAACAAGTAAGCCGCCCGAGTCCCAGGCAGAATTAAGAGCCACGGTCCCGAGGTAGCTGGCACATCCAACACAAAATTACTGCACATAAAAAGATCTCCGGGATTGATTTAAGTGTAACAGGATTTAGGGCTGCAATTATTCATCACACCATAATACAAGCCTGTCAGGATCCAGCACATCAGAGATTAAACGGGAAAATATACTAATTCAAGTGGGAACAGTGGAGGGGTTTGAATGTAAAAACATGAAAAAAAAAAGCTCTGTCTCACTCCTAAGTGACAAAGAGATGGAAGAAGAGAAGAAGGACACTTTAGGTTTGTCAGCCTTTTCCTGTGAGTGACTAAACAGCCTCCCATGGTTGAGAAAACTGCAAAGCAGAGACCTGAGGCATGGAAAGTAACAGAGACAGAGTGATTCAGTGAAAGTGAATGGCTCTCTGACTCTCCTACCCATCACTGGAAGGGGGGAGAGACTTTAAAGAAAAAAAAAAAGAAAAAAGAAGAGCAGGGAAAGGACGGAAAGAGGGGGAAATGACTGGCGACTGTGTGGGAAGAGAGAGAGAGGAGGGGCTTAGAAAGTATGAACTTGTGTATGATTTAGCTGCAGGAAGCATTAAGAAGGGGAAAGACTGCAACCAGGACGCCGTATGCTCACTCTTTAAAGGCTTTTCCTGAGGACAAGCTGCTTTATGGCTCCTCGGACTTTTTTCCACCGGGTCACACTCTTTGTAGTGCGCTCCTTCACTCCGGAGAGTTGTCTTCTTATTTAAAAAAAAAAGAACACCAGACCTTGAACCCGTGCTGTTTTTTTTTCTTCTCCCCCCTCTTCTCTCTTATTCTGTGCGTAATTTGGATCCAGGATCGAGGAGAAAAACAGAGGCGACACCGCAACAAGGCGAGGAATCAACGCAGAAATTGAAGTTGGAAAAAATGAAAGCCGTCTTGGATTTCTGCTGGCTTTTCCTCATGCTGCACACTCCCGGCGTGCTGTCCTTGTCCACACGTAAGTTGCACACAGATGGTCCATCGATGCGCAAAAGTCGTGGTCCTTGCCTTTTTGTTTTTGGGGAGGGATTTGGGTACAGCGCTGCACTTTTTGGTTCACGGAGATCCAAGTGTCACCCAAAGGTGTAAACAGCTGTGGGTGACACCGTGCTGCTGTGCTGTGTTGGATTTGTAAGGATTGTGCTGCAACACTTTGAAACCTTGTGTTAGTGAACGCACACACCACAGAGAGCTGCAAACCTTTAACAGGGATGTCATGTGGGATATAAAAAAAATGCTGTTTTTAAAGCTTACGTGCACCGGTAGGAGAGTTTCAGTGATGTGATTATAGGATGAAAGTGTTATTCTAGAAGGATATTAGATATTGCAAAAATATATAGAAAAACTACAATCCCTGTTCAGAATACCTTAAATATTATAGTGGTGTCATGTGGAATAAAAACAGACACCACAGGAGCTCAGATACAGGGTTCCATATGATGAAAAATGGACATAATATTATGTTAACCCTATAGTGAGCTCCCATCCAGCCATACTGAAGTTAAAGTTATGTTTCCAATGCAAAATAACACCGATTCCTCAGATTCTTTCCTTGCCTTACATAATAGGAGCCCACTTGCTTGGGACACATCCTGGATCCTCTCCGGTTGACTTCTGGTTACATTAAAATAGGACAAATGCCACTTTGTCTGCTTGACAGCTTCGGTTATTGATGTGCTCCTGCTGTAGTATATTGGTTGTATCCCTGCAGAGAGAACTTGTCTCCCATGAGGCCGAATTTCAACAAGTCAGGCCATAATTCGTTTAACACATGGAGAGCGTGGGGGCTTTACGAACCGCATCAAAACAGTGACATCATTTGCTCGGGTTTTGGAGAATGTTAACCACCAGCTTAATGCACAATAACGTAAATAAATCAAAGTTATGTCCGTTTCACCCGTTAAGTGGCTGGATTAGTTTTTATGGCCAGCTCACTGGCAAACAGCAGCTCCTCAGAGAGGATCTCCTGTTATTCATCCTGTTTGAAAGGCACTAATAAAAGAAAGTACAGTTTTAGGGGTTTAAAGCAGACAATGGGCCTTGATCATAAGCTTCCCCGCTGTTTATTATAGGGCCTAATCGGTCATTACTGTTTTATTCACTATAATAATGGATGGTGCTTCCCTTTCACTTAGTGTTCTGTGGTTTACAGATGCCACTAAAGTAAAACAGTTTTAATGTGGAATTTTCCTACTAACATATAATTAGTTTTTAGTGCAGCTCATAATGTCATAAAGTTCAAGTTTATATGTCCTTTTAGCAAATAATGAGATATTTATATTGGATATGATCATGTAAGGCCAAATTTTTCACTCCAAGATGCATAAAAACCTTCCCAAAATAGGGTTTTAGCCTGAAATTAACTTTGTACACACACATTTGCCATTTCTCCTGCCCGTGCTTGCCCTGTTTTGACTTCACGTTAGACAAGACAAGATAAGAGCATAGGTTAAAAACCTAAAATGTAAATCTGTGTAAATAGAAAAACAAAAAAACATCCGCTGCTGTTTCTTCACTCTCTTTTCAAGCGACGTTGCATGGCTCATTGTGACTAAATGTTGCGTGACTTCTTCCACTTAGCTCGTTGGCACCGGCCCCTCAAAAACTTACAAATGCTCGTCTATTGTACAGCAGACAGAGGAAAGCATCGGCTTTCTTTGAACCGCTGCATGGATGAGCGAAGAGTAAACAGTTCTTTAGTAAAAAGACGGGATGTCATGTACCTTTGAAGAATGACAGCGTTAAGTCCACATAAGTCCACCGTGGACTTAGAACCAGGCACTGGAGACCTCCTTGCATTACATTTTCCTCAGTTCAGCTCCATCCTCCTCTGTGGCGGGGTTAAACTTGTACCTTGCCCTGATGAGAGCTGTGCTTCGAGCAGCCTCAGCCTCTCCAAACAAATAATATTTTACAAGCCATTTCCTCCAGTGAGCGTGTCGAGCAGAGACAATAAACAGCAGTGATTGTGTCTATCACTGCAGTGTTTGAACTGCGCGAGAAGGGGTGTTACAGGGCTTCGCACCCCGCTCCGGGGCACAGTCCCGTCCCCAGCGCCTGGAATACGTAAACACTGATTGTTATTCAGCTGGATCAGCATATTATTGGCTAATCACGGCGCCCCTTTAGTCCGCTGTATCCGGTGACAAAGACAAACTGCCTCCGTGCATGTGTTTGTTTGTGTTCGTGCGTGTGCGTAAACGTGTGGAGATGTTGTGTCAAAGCTCGGGACGGGGTTACCATATTAATATTGGACTGCAGTTAGGGTTGAATTAACATCTTCAAAGGCGGCTCGTCCACAAAGGACCACACAATGTCTGTCAGTGTAAGGTGGCTGGCAGCTGAATGGATGTGGCCTCGGGCGAGGATTTGTAGTGGTCTGACAAAGTGTTGACGCTCTCGCTCATTGGCCTCTCACTCAGTTCTTCTCAGAAATCGTCTTACGGACGTGTTTTCGTAGCCTTGGCTGCATGGCAACGCTGTTTCCCTTTAAAACGCTGCAATCCGAAGAAAATGAACTTTTCTCTTCTTCATTTTGTCCTCTAATTGTTTTCTTTGAGATCAAAAGCTCTTCCACTACGTGCCTGTACTTTGACATTCAGCTGTCATATAATCAAATGATAAACAATCCGACCAGTCATGTATTATGAAATTTCCCTTTGCTATTTACCAACTGCGTGAAATGACTAAAGAAAGATAAAATAACGCATTTTTTCCAATGGCTAGTCTGCAAAACAAACATTTTTTGTCCAAAATAGTGCATGTGTTACACGACTTACAGACATTTTCCAGAGCAAGTTACGAGTTTTTACATTCATTATTAACACACACATTTTGTTTTATCATATCAACATGCAAAAACATAACATTTGCTTGAGATAAATAATTCATTTCAGGTGTTTTGTTACTTGTAGGCTGCAAACTGTTGTAATACAATCATTGTTTTTTTGCCTGATGATGGTTCTGAATTGCTTTAGCATCTTAAATTTTAGAGCCAGTCACCTTTAAACGTCCGCTTCATCCTTAATTTTTGTCTCCTGAATAGGAAAACAAAGTGTGAAAGCCTTAGAATTTAGGCTACTTCAGACAATTCATGTTGGTTTTTCCAAAGTCAAGAGTTTTCCAAATTGATATTCCAGCTTTTAAGCATGATACATGAGATACAGGGTTCACAAAATAATAAACTTGGTCAAAATGAAACCCAGTCGTTCAGTCCATCAGAGTCTTTCAATAACACCTACATTTTCAAAGGGACGTTGATGTTTGAAGCATCCGTCCTAACGCTCCATAGAGACATCACTGTGAGATAATCTGGGTTATTTTATGTTCAGACATAGAGAAGGCCCATCCGGAGCCACAGAAGACATTATGCAGCTGTTTTCACATGTTCTACATGACAAGTAAACCGACTTTAATGTGGGAAATTCAGTGTTTTCTTGTGAAGAGAGTGTTTCTGTTCCTTAGCCTACAGAGCAGGGAGAGACGGCACGTTTGCTATCAGAGGCAGAAGACGCGCTGATATGGGTCAGTTGAGCGGTTAACACCAATAGAAACAGCAGCCAAGAACGTAGCTGAGCTGCAGCAAGTGGTGGACAGACGTGTTACAACAGTGCATCCAAGGGTCTCAGAGCAGCAAATTGCCTCCATATCCACTGGATGTTTCAAATGTGACAGGAAACACACCGGACTGAAAGTGAGTGCAGCCGCTTTCATCAGTCAAGTGAGATTGTTCGTCCTGGAGGAGGCCTTGACTAATATTTTTAACCTGACTAAATATCTCCTCGTACTATCGTGATGCAACATAAACTGCTGCTGGGACTTCTGGGAGAAAACAAGGAAATTGCACAACTTGCAGCAGTGAGATTGAAGAATGGGCCTTAATTGTGACAGTTTGTGAACACATCTGAGAGTTTTAAAAGGGCTCAAAACATGGCAACTGAGCAGACGTCCACTGCAAGCCAGGCCCATTATAGCTTCATGTGAAGCGTCACACCTTTACGAAACACATCCGGGACTGGACTCAGTGTAATCAGGCGCTGTCTGAAGTTTATCAGTGGCCCATGGAGTGAAAAGAACCTCACATGTGATGGTTTGTGAAAAGACAACCAGAGGAGGTCTGCATTGTGTGTGAAAGCCTGGTTTAAGTTCCACTACACGTACAACAGACAGTGATGAAAGAACTTCTTGAGGCCTGTGTGAGGGTTTCATGGAGGAAGGCGCTGACCTGCAGCCACATGTAGATGTAGATACACAGAGTCTGCAGTGAGATAATGTCAGGTGTGCCAAATGAACCATGCTGCCCAAGCACTTGCTCCACAACATCCATGGGAGTAGCTGACCCAACAATGGATGGGACTACATGTGGATGTTTGTCAGCCTGTCTTGAGAAAAAAGTTTCTGATTGTCTGTGATTCTTTCACTTAGTGGATTTAAGCTGTCAGTGCAGTTCGTAGCTTCATCCGCAGCAATGGAAAAATTGATGACTGGAATCCCATGTTTGTGAGCCATAATTGGCCAGGCCTCGTGAGTGTAGAGTTTAAAAAAATATCATCAAGCATGTATCATTTGTACCATATCATCCATGCTCCAGTGGATGTGCAGGAAGAGCTATACGGTTGTCTAATGAGAGCATCAGGAAGCTTTGAAACCAAATGATCAAGGTGAAAGGTGGATTATCAGTCAACCTCTCAGAGCCCTCTGGAACAGCAGCAGTTGAGTTGCTGTTGAATCTGAGGATTATGACTCAATTGGACCTTTTGAGTTCCTTACTTACAGAGAGGAATGAATGGAATCAGGCCAAACAAAAACAGAACCATAACAGGAGTGCTAGAGACTGAGTGATATCTGTCGATGTGAGCGGGCACACAGGCTGGAAATTGATTTTACCAACTGAAATAACCAGAGCAGTGCCTCATCAGCTGATGAAAAGACACCAGGATGAGATGCTAGAAAAGGTCCATGTAGGACCAGAAATAGTCTCCATCCTACGGGATCAGGACTGTTCTGCTAATTCAGCTCAACAGAAGCCAAGAAAGACTGAGCCCGAGACTCCAGCACAAGACAAAGTGGGTCTCGAATCTCAGGAACAGCGATTTTAAATAGAACCTTGTTGATCTAGCTACTGAAAAATACTGTTGCATGGTCAGTCGCTGAAGTTGGAGAGAAAAGGCACAAGGCCCCAAGAGTAAGGAAGTGATGGGGAGGCTTAAAGGAGAGTGGTGGAGAGTTTGGTTATACTGAAACTAACACTAAAAGTTCAGATAACAGCATGTTTGTTAGATTACCTTCAACCACACATTGTTACATCTAGAAAGCCTCTTGAACGCAGACAGGATCTTTGTTGGCCACCAGCCTAAACTTGGCTCAATTACCATCAACTGTTTTCCTCTAATGTCCGTCTCCTCCCGCCCTCTTCCAGATGTAGCAATCATCTACCCCCAGGACCCTGTGCTTCGCATGGGGTCCAACCTGACAGCCAGCTGCTGGGTCCACCCCGACCTCGGCGTCCATGCCAGCTCTCTGTTCTGGACACTGAACGGTCAACAGCTGCCCAGCTCCCTCTACAGAGTGCTGAGCCCCACCAACCTCAGCGTGACGCTGGCCGGACTCAACGCCTCCAGGCAAACATCCGGCGACAACCTTGTCTGTCACAATCACAAGGGACACATATTGGCTGGCTCCTGTCTTTACGTTGGGAGTAAGTTGAAGTCCGAAATGCATAACCTTAAAATAATCTCTGAGAGTCATGTATTTACATTTGCCTCTGTGCTTCACTGTGAGGAGATGTTGAAGGAAAGTCTTGTTGCATTAGCAACAAAGTGCAGGAGAGGGCTGAGAGGAGTAATACACCAAAGAGATGAGTGGAATGAAAAGGAAATGGGAATAAATGGAAACAACAAGGAAGTAGTGGGCAGATTTTAAGTGTCCCTGCACAGTTGAAGCTGTATTTTATGTTTAGTATTCCTGCCTTCAGACCCAGCGAGAGGCCTCAATGAGTGTGTCACTGTGAGACGCTTTGACCACCTGTGTGGTCCATTACTCGCACTATCACTCATCGGGTATGGGCTTGACATTCTACACACATACAAACACACATGTTTGTAGCTCTATACTTAGGAGGACTACATGCACATTGTTTTAACGTCTAAGGCAAACTTTTCTATCAAGGTGCCTCATGATAGTCTTATTTTCTCCACTGAGGAATCCTTACCTGTCAGAAATAGTTTGACCTTTCGAAAAAAATGCTTATTTCCTTTCTTGCCAAGGTGTAGATAAAAATTTAAACGGTACTTTCCCCATCTGTGAACTTGTCATGTTGGATTAGCTTAGCATCAAGACTGTAAAAGTGTTAGTTGGCCCAACCAAGAAACACTCAAGCACATAAACCTCTATGAAACCACAACTTTTCATGAGTACACTTTGGCTTTTGCACAGATCAAACATATAAATCAAAGATATAACATGTCAATTCGGGACTTTTAAAGGTGCAGGTCAGTTGGCTAATTGCATGCTTTTGTATCCAGTCTTTATGCTAAGCTAAGCTAACCTGGCAGCTGTCTCAAGCTAAAAATGAAAAAAAAACAACCCCTAGAGCATGCCATTAAAATAGATTTTTTTGAAATCACAGATGCCGAACTCTACGCTAAACACTAAAACCATGCCTTAAAGGATAGTCGTGCTTCTTGTTTTATAGCTTGGGTCTCATGTTTGTAGTTTTTGCCAGCGTCTCTTATCAGTTACGCCAAGTTTGTACTCGCCAAAGTAAGAGTTAAGTTCGATCGGGCAAGAAACATGAGCAGGCAGATGATCAGACAGCTAAAAAAACATATTATACAATCCACCGTATTTGGACTTGGTATTAATGTCCTGCATTGCACAATTTTCCTGTGCAAATAAGTCTGTAAACTGCGACAGATGTTCGCTCTCGGTAATATTTTTTCTGTTTGCTTTTGTTTTCTCATCAGAAAAGTCTTAACGAACGGTTATTTTAAAACCTGCACAATCATCTCACTGCTTCTTTATTTTTTGCCCCTAGAAAAATCCAATTTTTCTTTTGGACATGACACTGTGTTCATAGATCTTGGTATGTACCATATTATTATTACTGATCCTGAGTAGCAGAACTTCAAAAAAGGAGCTGCGTTGTTATAATTACCCTTTAACTTTCAAACCCTTATTTGAAGAAACAGGGAGTGGCCACAGTGTCTGTCGTCTTTGTTGCTTCTTTTCTTGCTTTTCCCACACAGAGAAGAATAGGTACTGATTTATTTTTTTGAAGTTGGGAGAGGTGATGAGATGAAAAATGACTTTTGAGGAGACAAAAACGTAACCGCAAAGAAACGTGTCCGTGCATTTTTCTCAGACACAGACGAGGAGATGTCGGGCTCTTAATCTCTGTCTGACGCTGGTGTCGAGCACCCAGTGTTCAGAGAGACGAAGAATGTTGGCAGGGATCCCAAGTCTGACCGAATCAGACAGCGCACAGCACACACAGACACTCACAGTGCAATTAAGAAAAAAAAAAAGTGCAATTTCTGAGGAACACTACTGGTGAGTGAATTACACTCAGGAGGAAGGGGCTGAAGTAATGACTGGAGGTAACGCTGTACCCTCGCTGACCTTTCGTTTTCTGTCCTTCTCTCTGCCTCTTCACCTCCTCTCTCTCTTTTCACCCCATTCTGTCCCAGTGCCTCCAGAGAAGCCAGTCAATCTGACCTGCTGGTCCAGGAACACGAAGGACCTGACTTGCAGCTGGGCTCCAGGAGGAAAAGGAGAGACTAACATCAGCACACAGTACCGGCTCAAGTACAAACTCAGGTAGACGCACACACACAACCTACAGCTACACTGCAGACAGTATTCAGTGCAACGACTCATTCATTTCACCACGGCTTTTTCCATGAAATAATCTTTTGAGCAAATGTAGTGAGTTAATGCTCTGAATGAACAGCTTTGAAAGGCACGTTGTCTTTCAAAATAATAATCACCAAGTTCCACAATTTATCAGAGCCAGAAATGGGACCTTGAAAAAGTATGTGTCACCAGGGGTCCGTTTCACAAAACAGGTTCAACAAACTCTGAGTCTAATCCTGAACTCTGAGTTGAGCTACTCTGAGATAGGAAACTCTGAGTTTCTGGTTCCTGAACAGCACATAAACTGTAAAAACAGAAAGAATCGTCAGATCGTCACTTTGTTCTACGTGTCATTTAAAAAATCAAGGAAAATAAACCATTTGCTCGAACCAGATTCTGTAAAAAACTCAAAATTGTGTGCTCCACAACACCACCGTGAAGTCATTAGTGACCTCGCTACAACCAACAGTCACATGATGACAGATCAGGGATGCTTTGGTTGATCTGGGCTGAACTGCAGGCTGTGCTTACATAGAGCAGATAGGACAGCATGAGAACAACTTAATAAGTAGTAAAATATCTGCAGCATCTGATCTAAGCTGTGGTTGTGTTGTTTCCATAGAGGTGCAGGACTTTATATTCTAGTGAAAAATGAGTCCATAGTGGAGCAAAAAAAAAACAAAAAGTCCAGAAAGTGCTTGGGCTTGAGAGGGCTGATACATGCTCCTTGGATATTGAAGCAGTGCTGGGTTGCTGTTGTAAACCAGTTTGCAGGACACAGGGGCACAGAGCAGATAAACATACTGTTGAATTCAATCTTTAACCTTTTATATTATATTCATAAGACAGCCCTACGAACACCACTTCAACCTTTGGAGAAAAACAGGCCTCCTGTGTCTAGTTGTTATAGACTATAGACAGTCAAAGAAATCAATTAATTGCATTTCTGATTAGCTTATTTTATTCAGAAAATTAAAACATATGAAGACATGCAGTCACTGAAAATGTAGGGAGCAAAATGAAAGGGTCCGAATCGAGGTGAGCCAATCGCTTCCTGCCAAAATCAACATATTTCTTATGATTCTTTTTTTTTTTTTTACAATCCTGACATGCCACAGAAAATCTCCAGAAATAAGCTCAAGACATGTTGGAATCAAGACAAAATACATGATCTTTTTGGCATACCTTATTTTTTGTTTAAGAAGAATAACATGAGTGGCAGCCAGAGGGCGAAAACCGTTCGACATTTTATTAAAAAAAAGTCAATTTTCATGAGATTTCTGTTCATCTGGGAACAATACATTTTCCAAAATGAGTTTCAGATGGGGTGTGGGCTCTATTCGCATTTTTAAATAATTAAATCAGCAATTTATAAACACCAAAAGGGAAATGACTTGACATGCAGTACCCACAGGCGTGCCAACTGCATGGAGATTTCTTACTGCATTCAGATTAGTGTAAATAAGGACTTAATAAAAAAGCCCCAGTGCCAGATAAACTCTTAACTACTAACACATTACACAGTGAGTTGTATATTACAGGCATTGTTTGAGGATGTTGAATGCTGTCCAGAGTTTTTTCACCACTTTTTTGTTTCCTCCCTCAGATGGTACGGTACGGAGAAGCAGTGCGAGGATTACACTCATACGCAGCCGTACTCCTGCAGCATCACCCAGGACCTGCACCTCTTCACGCCCTACGAGATCTGGGTGGAGGCCTCCAACCAGCTGGGCCGGGCCACCTCCGATGTCATCACCCTTGACATCTTAGACGTGGGTGAGTGTGAGAAGAAATGAACTTTTGATCCTCTCGCTTTAACTGCTGCTCTCAGAGCTTAGATCTCGGTGACAATGAGGCCTCAGGTTATAATCCGGCCTCGTCAAACAATGTCTGCCTGCGACCCTTCATCCCAGGTTACATCCATGACTTTCTCTGCACCTTATTTGAATCTTCAGCAGCGTTTTATCAAAATAATATTAAGAAACAGCAAGTTTGGAGTCGTCTGCAGCACCGGTCTGGCTGCACCTCATTATCATTTTGATATGACGGGGAAGAAACCCTCTGACTTATTTCTTTAAAGAAGGACTATCGTATTAGGCATAGCTAAGCCCAGGATGCAGCAATGGTGTCCCATCAACACAATGGCTGTGTCCGAAATCACTCCCTATGCCCTATATAGTGCGCTATATAGGGTGCACGCCATTTTGTAGGGGTGTCCGAATGTTAAGTTACAAATGTTACACCCTATATAGTGCACTCAAAATATCCCACAATGCACCGTAAAAAGTAGTGTACACCCGATGGTCACTAACCGAGCAATACGGACCATCATGCATTGCGCGAAAGGAAATGGAAATGGAGATGAACGAGAGCGCGGAAAAATTCCCGTTTGTTTTGTTAAATTTTCTTTTACCCGGATAGTGAACGTCACTAAAATTGCGGCGCTTGGTTGTGATTTGGACATACAACACCACTTTATTTAAATTGCTTTTAGTTACTGGATCCTGAAGAAACGCTCTCTCATCTGGTATGTACAGCAAAATGACAATAAACTTGATTTAATTTGATTTCTTAGCTACGCAATAAACTGTTAATTTGATGTGTTTGTACTACGCTGTTGCAGCACAAATTGCGGCTGGCGAGTGATGTAATTAATAGCTCGAGTAGTGTCCGAAATTATGCTTTGCCGAGGTGTTCCCTATATAGTTCACTGTGTAGTGATCACTATATAGGGAGTAGGGAGTAGGGAGTGAGTGGGTGATTTCGGACACATCCAATGTTCAGGGGAATTGTTTTGTTGGAACAGAGAGGCGAGCGTTGTCATTAAAACGGCTAATTGACTGAAAAAACAACCTAGCAAGGATGCACAATTTAAATCCACTGCAAAACTTACATTTTTTAGTGTGGTAGATAATCTCAAGGTTGTTGCTTACCGTAATGAAAGGAGATTTTGCAAAAAGTAACATGAAGAAAGCTGCATATTGCATGTATATGTATATACCCATAGTCTACATTTGGTGAGTCAGAATAAGTTTGTGTATAAAATGACACACAACACATGTAAAATATTTGCATCTGAAAAACTATGGAACCCTAAAACACACCAAATATACATGAGCATGAATATTAATTATTTTATTATTCTGTGGAGCCCCTCATGCGTGAGCTGTGTCCCTTATTATGTCTGAATATACATAAGCAGCCGGATGGTTCATTCCTCGTTCTGTTCGTCATCTCGTCATCCCTCCAATTCATCCTGTGACCCCAAAGATGGTGTTTATGATTTAATCTAGCTTTACGATATCAAAGAAGTGTATCACATGGCTTTACATCATCATCTCCCTAATTCCTACAGACAAGACACTGGCTTGACTTCTGTGGTTTTTTGACTTTTAGAGAAAATTGTTCACATGCCCTCGTCTGGCTTCACACTGATAGGAACTGAGTGGTGCTCCCTTTTAAAGCTTTGTTTTGTGGTCCGTTGCCTAGCTTGGTGCGGTTTAAGCAAACGGAGCATGCAAGCTCGACCAAATTCTTCCCTTCTCTCATTATCCTCAACACACACACACAGGCTCCTGGAAACATGCATGCCCACACCTGGACAGGCGTAGGTGTGTGACGCCTGGAGACGCCCTTTCTCTAGATGAGCTCATTTTCTCTTTACTCATGCTCACTGGACACACACACACGAACACAGAAACACGCACACACACATCCAGGAAAACACTCGCTAACCCCCTTTTATGTAGCGTCGGAATGTTCCGGGCTGATCCTCGAAACTAATCCTGTCTCCAAGGCGGCTGCAGACCCCCGGGGGCCCGAGAAGTTTGGGCTTTGAGGGCTTTAAGATTTGGACCAGAAATAATAGAACTTGATTAGCTTGGAACTCTTCACCTGGGTCACTCCTGGTGTAGTGAAAGGAGGCCGTGTGGAGGCGAACACATCACTTGCGAGGAAACAAGCGTCCATCAAACTGTAATTCCTTTTTCTTTTTCCTAATGTATGCACGCACACACCTGTTTACACACCCCGAGGGCAGGGCAGGGCCTGGAAACAGTATAGAAACAGAGAGGCAGGCAGAGTGTGGGCGGTTTCTGGATTGGTGTGTGTGTGTGTGTGTGTGTGGTTTGTCTCGCTCAGGTTGCCCAGGCCGTCCTTTTCATTCAGTTTCCACAACAGTGGCAGGTCATAAAACACAGCAACCACACCTGCGTCGAGCCTCCGTGAGTCACTCGTAGCTACGGTCATGTCCAATCAGTTCTGAAGGCGAGGTGGAAACACCTACAGCTTTTCCCTGCATTCCTCAAGTCACGGGGAGCCCTGCGAACCGAAAGACTAGAGGAAACTTGCATCGCCGTCTAACTCAGAAGTGACGACGTGCTGAGGAATGACATGACATATGTTAACAGTGATTCATCAGTAGTTCGTCATGTCTCGTTGACTTTTATTGCAAAGTGCATGCAGCACAATGCATAGGTCGACACATGCGCTCCTGTCTGAGGACGAGCAGCATTGCTCTTAGCACATTATTTTTTTTCTGTAATTAGTTTTTTGTCTGTTACCACCTCATTATCTTGGAATTAGTTGGGTTCTCTTGTGGTTCTGAGATAATTATCCTTAAAAAAGTATTGCATGTTGGAATATCTTGTCTTAAAATTGAAAAATGTCATAAAAGCTAATTATGGTAACATCAGTTTAATGATAATGATAACATAATAATTTGTATTATGATATATAAACATATAATACTACT